TGCTGGATGGACACACTCAACAACAAGCGTTACTACTCAAGAATCTGTTGCGCTTAAATTATTTCATGGATCAAAAAATATCTGTAAGGAGCTTCTAAAAGAGGTAAAGTATTTAATGTTATATTGTTTATTAAATTTTTTCATTTTGTTTAATACTTATGAATTTTAAAGTTAAATGCATATTTTGATATTGGAAGTAAAAATTCAACATTTTTGCAATGTTATGGAGTGTCAAAATATGAAGTTACTGGTGATTATATTTTAGTTATTCAATACGCGCCAATGGGATCTTTACGTCAGAATCTTCATACTATTGCACAAATGAAATGGAAAAAAAAATAGAATTATTGTCATATATCGCATTTGATCTTCAATTAATTCACTCATATATATAATGCTTATATTGGAGATTTGGGCTTTGCAAAATCAGTAAATAAATCATTAGATACGGGATCTGGAGGAATTTATGGAGCCTTACCATATGTTGCTCCTGAAGTTTTACAAGGAAAATCATTCAGTAAAGCATCAGATATTTATTCTTTTGGAATGATTATCTTCAGGAAATGTTGTATTTCCTGATAATGAAAATAATCAGCACAATAATTTAAGCTTGGCAATAGAAATTTGTAATGGACTAAGGCCAATTATCCCTAAAAGTACAACACAACTTTATGTAGATCTCTTAAAAAAGTGTTGGGATAATGATCCAAAAAAACGACCAACAGCTTTAGAAATTTATGAAACTATAACAAATTGGAGAAATAGTCCTGAATTTTTATCCGAATTTTTAAAATATGATGAAGAAACGGCAATAAAAAACATTAGTTATAATATTGACGGTAATACAATTCATAGTAGCAAATTTATTAGCTTTATCGATCAGAAACAGAACGAATCTGTTGAAATAAACAATGTAAATGAATTTATTTCAGATAATAATATTCGCATTGAATCTATTGATTAAGAATACAATAGAGTTATTTAATAAATTATTTTGTATAAAATTATGTACCCGAAAATTAGTGCGTTATTTCCAACGTGTACTCATAATATAAAGTAGGGCTAAAATTAAAAAAAAATTGCGCAGAATAATGCCAATTTGAAAGCTTCTGTCAATATACTCTACAAGCGAATTGTTGTCACGCTTTATATACGGTTTCCAGATCAATGAGAATAGAAAATACAACCACGGCATATTTGCATTTTTTGAATTAAGTTTATTGTCAGAAAGCTGACGATAATCACGATAATCATGAAGAACATTGTATATCATAAATGATCCAAGACTGCAATTCTTTTCTATATTTAATGTCAAAATAATTTGATATAAAGTATGACCCATACAATTCTCATACAGAATTGTCCTTAACTTAATTTCAGTTGAGAATGTTTTTGCATGAATTTGATGAATAATGAAGCAAAAAGATAACTGCCGTGGAATTGCATACGATTCTGATTTTCCAAGTTTATGCCTTGGACAAGTTTCAAGTAGAGTTCTTATCTATACGATTGATTACATGAATAATGCTATAATTTAATTCGTCTTCGGAGAATTCTTCAGTATTCTGCATGTAGTTTTAGTATTACATTTTACATCATCGGATAGCAATTAATATGTTTAATATAAAAGTGAATAGACGATATATTTGTTGGTACTGTCACTTGATAAATCAAACAACCTTAACTATGGGAATAAGAAAGTCCCTGTGAGTTGTCTTTGATTTAATGATGGAGCATTACTATGAGTAACACGTGGATTGGGCTTGATCCGAGAATGGACTATTATTATAGTTAGTGTCTTAAATGTTTGAATATCAATAAAATGCATTCGAGACCATTCTAATGATAACCGGTTTATTGGTTTAATTTTATTAAATTATCAATATAAAAAATTAACTTTAACCCATTAATAATATACTCTGATGCAAACATTCAAAGAAACTTGGCTATTTCATGTAAATGTCGAACATATGTAACAAACATTCAACTAAAATAATTGAAAAGATAATTTATGTGACGATTTAGATAGTATTTTTAATATTGCCATTTTTTAATGAAAAAATAAAAAAATAAAAGCTTTATTATAACTTTGAAATATGGACCATCTCGGAATTCCATCTTTCGTGTATCAGATTTAAAATTGTGTAGACCAAAGTTTAAATCCAATATACGCCATATTGCAACCCGAAATTTGTACTAAGTAGAGAGGCCTGATCCGTTCAAAAATGAAATCAGAAGAATCATTCGTTCAATTCTTATATCTTGATGATGATCAATAAATACCCAGATAAAGTCAGGTGCACCTCAAATATAAAAATTAATTTTGTCTATATATAAAGATTGTCAATTTTAATTGTTTTATTTATAATTTTTTTATATAAAATAAAACAGGTTCTAAGCCATCTTTTGATGTATTTTTTTATTTCTTTTTATAAAGGTTTTTGTTAAACAATAAATTTTTGTATAAATTCAAATTTTTTTGAAGAAAAGCATACATTTTCGCTATGCATTTACTAAATATATAGTTAAATTTTGGCTCATATTTGTTGAGATATGAATTTTTAAGTTTAATAACCAATTTACTATACTATATAATACAAAAGCTGTACAGTAAAATATAATTAATCATATTAAAAATCTTTATATATATACAAAATTAATTTTTATATTTGAGATGCTAATCTTTTTGCATCAGACCATATATTTATTGAATATTTTAAACTTTATTTGTACCCTATGTTGTGAATTGATGCTACGATACATTGCTTCGGACAAAGATTGTGAATGTATTTAAACTTTTTTGTGCTATATTATAACTGTTTTCGAAATGGTTGAAAATGCAAATAAATTCTTTTTTTGGTACACTTGTACACTCGATTACCTTAGCATGTTGATTGAAATTCAATGTAGAGTTTATGTAATTGTTCTGAACAATTACATAAAATCGGACATGGGTCTTCATTCAATGTGCCAAGGTAATCGAGTGTATGAGTGTATGGGTGTACGAGTGTATGCCAAAAAAAATTTTTCAATTGCATTAACCATTTCGAAAACAGCGATAAAATTTTATATTTATGTCACCTTCAATAGTAATGCGACTACTTACAAATGGCTGATAAAAATTTATTTTTCTTCATAATCCAATATATCATTTGTATATCAATAAATTATATTGAATTATTGTATCCGAATTCATTTCAATGATGATTTGACGTATAATTTGTGGTACGTAACGATATGGCGAAAAATGCGCCTAATTTAGCTCCAAAATGTTAATAATATATCTCTTACTCAGTTTTGCGAGAAAATTTGCCTGCAATTTGCATTTTCTCGACAAATTATTAATTTAAGAGTACATGGTATCATAAGAAGACTAAATCGGGTTGTTTGATAATCTTTGAAAAATATTATTCTTTTTAGCACACGGCTTCTCCGCCCTTTTATTTCTTCGCTCACTTTTTTTGGGTCCTTTGAAATCACGATCTTGTACTGCCTCTAAATGTCCGACGTCTAATATTAATAATCTTCAGACTTTTGATGTACCGGTATGCATTTGTATTGACGACATAACTGCAGAACTGCACAAGCAATTTTGGGGGCTAAAAACGTGAAGATGTTTGGGTATCTACTTAAATGGTTAATCCATAAAACATTCGTTTTCCTTAATCATAGAATAAAATAGTATATGTAATATAGTTAAATAAAACGGTACTAATTTAATTCAAATTTCGGCAAAAAATTATTAATGAAAAATTGACTCTTAACAATTTACTACGTATAATAAAGGAGTCAAAATCGCAGAACCTCAGATTCGGCATCAACTTAATTTCAGGTCTTAAAAATATCTTTAGTAAAAGGGCTTTATACAACTAAGTAATCATATCCTTTTAATAAAAGCAATCGTGTTTTGTTTTTCAACACAAAATAAAAATATTCCTTTGTTTCGAGATAAGTTTTAATGATTTGATCAATAAATTTTTTGGAAGAACTCTTTATTTTACCAGCCATGATCGTATCGGGTGCGATATCATTTACGATGCAAAAGTAGAATTCTTAATATTGCCACAGTGCAAATTATTAGAATTTGAATACAAAAATTTAAAATTTGTTAATGAAGCCAAGAGATTGCAATCTACACCTACCAATAACTAGCATAAAATTCAATTATAAATAATTTCTACTACAAGTTACTCTCGTTATAGTGAACTCTCGATATAGTGAAAACTAATTAAAATCTCGATATAATGAAGTTAGACCCAAAGCCAGTCTATATAAAATTCTCTCGATATAGTGAATTTACTAATAAACTCTCGATATAGTGAATTTTTAAAAAAATTTTATTAATAGAACCGGTCACTTCACTATAACGAGTTTGACTTGTATCAATTTAAAACAAAACCGACAAACCGAATAATACGTCTTTGATAAAAAAACTTTCAAGTGTATCTTAGAATTAACATTTAGGTTGGAAAATCTAGCACATAAGATCATTTATGAATTTTTTTATAATAAAAAATATAAAATCGAAATTTGATTCTATATAAAATTTTAGAATAAAAATATTTAATCGTTTTATTTGTACTAATATAAGAAAAGAAAAAAATTTTTGTTCTGATCGAAAAAACAAATTTCAAAAGTTTTATAAGTACTATTTTGGCCAGAATTTGAGTGTGTATTTAGAGTAAGCACTTATAGAGAGCGCACTTATGGAGATTTTACTGTATTTATAAAAACTTTGAAATTTGTTTTCTCAATAGAACTTATTTAAAATTTTTTTTTATAGCATGGTTCAGGATATATATTAAGTACGTACGTTGCTCTTGACCACACAACTGGCACCTAGGGATTGGAACAGTTTAACCGTTTAAAAATTGCACTATAGTTCCGGGCAGAATTATGTTGGTCGTGGGCCAGAATTATTTTAATGCCGGCCAAATTAAACGGTTAAACGATTAAACGATTAATAAATTTTTTAGGCGGTTCCAATCCCTACTGGCACCATGGTTACCTCGGTTGGGGAGTATCATGAAAAGAACATTTAGGATAGATGAATCATAATTAGGAACGATTTACGAGAATATTCTTTATTATGAGAAAGTTTATAGAGCAGACAGACTTCTATTCTTACATCGAGGTGGAGAGCTAGCATTTATATACATGCATTGAAATGATTATTCTTAATGACATTGTACATTCCGCCATTTGAACGTTTACCTGTCAGGACCATCACTCAACGAATGTACATTGTGATGATAATTTATATAGTAGCACCGTGCCGGCCGGTCACCCTAATACAAATGTAAAAAAATATTTCTGTTACTCATGTAACAGTATTGTCAATAATTGCAAATTATTTAAAACAAAAAGTTTTTATATGAAACAAAAATGTTCCACCGCTCATTACCAATACTTTTAATAGTAAAGATGGTTAAAAAATACAGATAGACCTTTCTAATTGTAATGCTAGCCCAAATATAATACATAAATGTAATTTTTTCTATTGTATTGTTCTACAAATAAAGTCTGGTTCTCTATGCAGTGTTGGCATTGAGCAATGATCAATAAAATTTTATTGAAATTGGACATATGACTAGGCATATGTCCAATAAAATACAATAAAAATTTTATTATGTCCAATTAGTCCATTGCCAATACTGCCCCTATGAGTTTATTTAAAGATAAATAAAGAGCGTTAATTTACGTTAATTAAAAAACATCAACTGATCTCCGTTACGAAAAGTTCTTAATGATTTCTTCAATTAAAAATACCTTTAAAAAGAAAAAGAATGCCAAAGAATTATTCGATCTAGGAAATCGTTATCTAAATGGCGATGGTGTTAAACAGAATAATAAAAAAGCTATCAAATTGTGTCAGAATGCCGTTAAGATGGGTTATGTCGAGGGAATGGTTAGACTCGGTTATTTTTATGAAAATGGAATTGGTGTTGAAAAAAATGAAAAAAGTGCATTTGAATGGTATCAAAAATCTGCTGATCTTAAAGATACCGAAGGAATGAATAATCTTCGTCGATGTTTCGAATATGGAATCGGAGTTGAAAAAGATGAAGTAAAAGCATTAGAATGGAATTTGAAACTATATCATTTACAATGGATTCCGTACAATCAATTTAAAAAAGTTGAAAAGATTGATCAAGGTGGATATTCGACGGTATTCAAAGCTAATAAAGAAAACGAAGCAGTTGCTCTTAAAGTAATTCATCATTCAAATATAAATGTATTAGATTTTATTAAAGAGGTATTTATTAATTTCATTAAAGAGGTATTTGTTAATTTTATTTTGATTTTTTATAATGTTACTTTTTTTTTAGTTGGGAGCATTTTGCAATATCGGATATGAGAACCCCTCATTCTTAAGATGCTATGGAATATCACAAGACGAAATCACAAAAAATTACATTCTCGTCTTGGAATATGCTGAAATGGGTTCTTTACGTAGTAATCTTCGCGCAGTATCACAAATGAATTGGTTGGAAAAATTAAATTTATTGTATCGTATTGCTTATAATCTTCAAATAATTCATTCTCGAAAACTTATTCATCGAGATTTACATAGTGGCAATATTTTATTATTTTCTTTATCTAATGCTTATATTGGAGATTTGGGACTTTCAATATCATTCAACACTAAACAAATTGGTAAAGTACATGGGGTTATGCCATACATGGATCCAGAAGTTTTATTAGGTCAAGATTTTACAGCATCATCAGATATCTATTCGTTTGGAATCATCATGATAGAAATAGCAACTGGTCAAAGGCCCTTTGATGGTAGAGAATTTGATAATGAACTTGCAACGAAAATTTACCTAGGGGAACGCCCGAAATTTAGTTTCAAACCTCCTAGACGGTACGTTGACTTGGTTAATGGTTGTGTGTGTCCAGATCCAAGTTGTCGACCTACTATTTTTATGGTTACTCGTATAATCAATGAATGGATTGTAGCTTTGAAAACTCCTCTGCCGCAGAATGACGAGTATGATATCTTTGATAATATTACTATGACAATTCAAAGTGAATTTTTTGGAAATGACTATAAAATTCCGATTATCGAACCAAAACATCCTGATCATATGTATACAAGTAAAATTATCAACACAAGACAAATATCTGAAACGGTTCAAGCACAAGGTTCTAAAAAGGTTGAATGATCATGAAGAGAATAAATGTTTTACAAATTTTTTCCTAACAAAAATATCCCTTCAAAATTTTGATATATTACACTGAAACCGCTCGATGAGATTTTGAGTTTTGAGAAAAATATGATTAATGTTTGTATTACGTGCGAAATTTGCAATCCATATCTGTTGTTTAAACGGACTTATTCGGATTTGATATTAGGCAGATCGGACTATCCGTTATCTTTTTTACAACTGATACAGTATTTAAAATTTAAAGATTATAGCGATAATGTAAAAAATAATAATTATTATATGGGTCTTTGCCTTGAAATCACGTTATGGATCATATGTTCCATAACGCATATTAATTAGGCATCGCATGTTGCGATATGCTTATACATCGCATTTTAACAATTGGCCAATTAAATTTGAAGATCAGGTGTAACGTGCAAATTAATTTCGTATGACAAAAATAAAGAAAATTTTTTTTTTTAAACCATAAAGAAAATTTTAATATCTCTAGAATAATTGTATGCTTAGCATCCCGCGATACTTTAATTTATCGCGTCTTTAAAATAAAGGTAAACTAGTATGCGATGCATTGATATGCATCGCATCTCAAATTTATATGCTCGAAACTACAAAACTAGATCGATGTTATAATCACATGATCACAGCCGCGATATGAAATCTTTATCGCCGCCAGTAAATTACATCATTATGTGATGTGTATTATGCCAAACAAGTATAAAGTCAAATTGGAATCACTTACCTCTGATCTTTTTTTTTGTTGTATTCATATCTGATTTTGTATTGCTTTCTTTATACCCATTTTCATTTTATTTTTTTGTTGTCTTCTTGCAAACTTTTGTTTCTTTCTTTGCTAATACATTCTGATTTGTTAAGATACAGTTTAATGATCCTGCTCTTAACTGGCCTTGCTTAAGCCTTCTTGCCAATGATTCTTCTAATAAACCTGGTGTATTTAGTCTAACTAGTAACTCTGATATACAGTGCAGAATAGCATAAACCAACACATTTTTTTGTAAAATGTGCCAAATTTCAAAATAAATACTCAATTCTAATTGGCTAATATAATATAATCAATTGCGATTGGTCAAAAATAACATATGAGTTTCTTTTTTTATATAGCAAATGGCAAATTTTTAATTTCATAGTAAACTTTAATTTAATGGTTAGGATTTAAGCATACTACCGGTAGTATTTTGTACTACATAGTGACATCATTTAAGGCTAATTATTGACTAATTTTAATATTAAAAAATCTATCAAAATATTTTTGTAATATACTTTGAGTAATGTGCATAGGTGTATAAAAAATATCATAGCTTAAAATAGTTTTATAAATTTTTTACAGTTCTTTGAAAATTGGCTATTTTTAGCTCTTTTACTAGTAAATTTTACTTATAAATTTTATATTAAAAACTAGGTGTGATTTTTTAAATTTTTAAACTTAAATTATTTTTAATATATTAGCTTCATGTTTGCAAAATTTATAAATTAGAATCAAAGGTTTGTTTTTATTAACTACTAATAAATTTAAACAAAGTTTATTTAATAAAATTTTTTTTAAATTATACAGTAGTTAAAAACTAAAGGACTTATATAAAATACTAAAAATAGTAATAATTTTCATCTAACAGCTTATAAACCTTTATAGTAAAAATAATATTTTTTATAATATAACTAATAATAAAATTTTTTTTATAGTAAGCTTTAATCATTTTTTATATAATTGAACTTTAAATTTACTAACTTTATTAAAAAAATTTTTAATAAATTTAGTTTTTATAGTATACTACACATAGTATATTTTAAATTTCAAAAATTGTAGTTACAAAAGATTTTTTTTTTAAAAAAGTTTATTATTAATATTAAAAAAAATTCTGCAAAACTATATTTGAATACTAATTAGATTTTTGTATATAAAAATTATAATTATATAAAATTTTTTAGATTTTTAAACTATTTTTCTAATTGTACTACCAGTAGCACAAAAGTCTAAATTCTATTCATTAATATATCTTCATAAAATTAAAATAAAATAAAAATCTTTTCTAGCCAAATTGTAGCTTAGACTTAAAGCTACAAATTAGCTAAAAAATTTTTTTAAATTTTTTTTATTTTAAAGTTGTATCAATTTTTGTAAAATATATATAAAAAGAAGTTGGTTTATGATGTCCCGCACTATATGATACTCCATATGTCTATTCCAGAGACTTTTGAGATTTGTTATCTCTGAATATTTTGTTATTATATTTGCTGTCATAAAAGGTATCAATATTTTATTTGATTAGACAAATTATCAGTTGGTATATTCTCTTACACTGTGCTTTAGTCAGACATGAAATCATCAATCTATACTCATAAGAATTGCATTTTTCACATATATGATTTGGCTTAAAAACATCTGTTTGTGCTTGAGTAGGCCTATAATCTTGCCTACTGTACTTCTTGCTTTGAATATGTCTGACTTTTTTTGGTTCTTAATTGACATCCAGACTCCTAAAAATCTTGTAGCCTTTTTGAAATCTTTCGCTATTTGATTCTCAGATTGCCTATCCAGATTAAGAGATTTCTTTTTACCCAGTTTCAATACTACAAGCTCAGTCTTGTTTAGATTTATTTCAATGTTATTTAACTTATAAAATTCTTGTGTAGTATCAATCATATTTTATATGCTTTCTTGACTATCTGTCAACTACATTGTGTCATCTGTATATGCTAGCACTCCTACTCTGATATTTACTGCAATATTCTTTGAGTTTATATATATTTCTAAATTATTCATATTGTACTCTAACTTGGCTTCTTGTACTTTGCAAAGCAAAGGATCATAGAAAATCCTCTATACCAATAGAGACAGTATCTTTTCTTGGTCCATATGGGCTGATTTACAGAATTGCTAATAACTTTTGATATACTGATTCGTTTTGAATAATTTTATTACCAAAATGTTGGTCTCGATAAGACAGTTCTAATGAATCCAAAATCGTCAAAATCCAATTACAGAGTCTCAAGATAATTAAGATTTTGTATGATCTTACTATTAACTTTTATTATATAGACAATCATTTAATGAATTGGTTTTATATATAAAGTTATATATAAAACCAATTCATTAAATGATTG